GATCCATCTTGAAGAATTGGCTCTTTCTGATTTATATTTTTTCAGAAGTGTATTGTTTTGCAGTATTTCCCTTATATCTTTTTAATAAGTATAGTGTCTCTATTGCTATCTCCTGTTTCATTCTTAATACTGGAGATTTTTGTCTTCTCTCTTCTTATTTTTGTCTTCTCCCTTCTTATTTTTGTTAATCTTGCTAGAGATTTACTAATTTCCTTTTTGAAGAACAAGCTTTTTGTTTTATTGTTTTCCTTTTTCCAATTTCCTGACTTTTTCCCTTATTTTTATGATTTCTTTTCTTCTGCTGGATTTGAGTTTATTTTCTCTTTTTTTTTTGTAGTTTCTAGAGGTCCGACTTATTGATTTGAGATCTTCTTCTTTTTTAACATAAGTATTCAGTGCTATAAATTTTCCTCTCAGTACTGTGTTAGGTGCATTCTACATATTTTGAAATGTTGTTTTTTCATTTTCATTAGTTTTATGTGTTTTTCAAATTTGTATTTGATACTCTTTGACCCATAAATTATTTATGATGTATTATTAAATTCCAAGTGTTTACAATTTTTTTATTTAAGACAATTTATTAAAATTATTTATTTACTTATTTATTGAGACAGAGCCTCCCTCTGTTGCCCAGGCTGGAGTGCAGTGGCATGGCCTGGGCTCACTGCAACCTCCAACACCTGGGCTCAGATGGTACTCCCACCTCAGCCTCTTGAATAACTGGTACCACAGGCATGCACCACCACACCTGGCTACTATTTTTGTATTTTTTGTAGAGAGGGGGTTTTGCCATGCTGCCTAGGCTTCTGAATTCAAGCAATCCACCTGCCTCGGCCTCCCAAAGTGCTGGGATTACAGGTGTAAGCCACCATGCCTAGCCAAAACAAATTTTTTTAAGAGATAGAATCTTGCTATGTTGCCCATACTGGCCTTGAACTCTTAGACTCAAATGATCTTTTTGCCTCAGCCTCCTGAGTAGCTGGGACTACATGCATGTGTCAAGTGTTTAGAGATTTTTTTCATTACTAATTTTTGGCACTGATTTTCAGCTGGATTATATGATGATTAGAAAATATACTCTGTATAATTTTAATATGTTTGTGGAACTTTTGTAGCTCAAGATGTAGTCTATCTTAGTGAGCGTTCCACTGACACATAAAAAGATGTGTGTTATTGAGTAGGGTGTTCTAAATAGACCACTTAGATTGTATCGTTCAGGTATTCTACATCCTTTTCGATTTGCTGTCCAGTAGTTCTATCAATTGCTGAGAGGGGGATGTGGATGGCTCCAAGTATAATTGTGAATTTGTCTATTTTTCTTTTCAGTTCTATCAATTTTGTTTCATTTATTGTTGTTTAGTATGTTCATATTTTGGATCATTATGTCTTCTTCATGCATTTCTCCTTTTATTATAATGTAATGTCTTTGTCTACATAATTTTCTTTGCTCTTAAATGTACCTTGTCTGAAATTAATGTAGCCACTCCTTTTTGTTTTTTTAAAGTAACATTTTATGATGTATCCTTTTTTCCATAAATCTGCTTTCATTCTACTTATGCCATTTAATTTTAGGTATATTTATTGTGAATAGTATATAGTTGGGTCATTTTTTTTCTTTTATCCACTTTGCCAATTTCTGCCTTTTAATTGTTGTATTTAAACCATTTATCCTTTTAATTGTTGTATTTAAACCATTTACTCTTAAGCTAATTTTTGACATGTTAGGGCTTAAGTGCGACATTTTATTTTTTGATTTCTGTTTGTTTCCTTTGTTCTTGTTTCTCCTTTTTTCTTGCCTTCCCTGAGTTATTGCACATTTTAAAAAAATTTCCACCTGGATGCATTTTTGAGATAGGAATAGCAAGGCGTGGTTGCAGGAGGATGAAAAACCCCAAGCAACGGCTAAAACAAGGATTAGGCAAAGAAACCACACGATAACAGAAAATCCAAAATAAGGAAAAGAAAATGGCCAAAACCCTGGTCAAGGTGACTTGTCTATGACTGTTCCAGGTAAACCCAAATGTGGGAGAAGGGGGGGTGGTAACTGGGGGAGGACGTCCCTAAAATCCTCTCCCTTTCCAGAATACCTAGTGATTACGGCACCCCTTAATAAAAGAAACATCCGTAAAATAGGAATGCTGGGTGGCCACAAGAAAAATATCAAGCAACAATTTCCCATAACAGCAAAAAAGGAGCTATTGAAATTAGCCAGGATAAGGGCGAGCCTGGGCTGAGAAGACCCTAACAAACAGGACAGAGGCTAAGCTGGTTGAGACCAGCTGTATCCAGCAAGGCATTGGATTTGACCCATGTCCTCCACAGTCCTAATTATATGTTCATTACCACACTAAGTTACACACCCACCAGTGCCGTGATAGATGCGAGCATGGCCATATTTAGCATAAAAATGGGTGGCCTGTCAGTTCCCAGAAATCTCTGCCTTTTTCCTAGAAAAATCTCAAGATTATTCCATCCCCTTATTAGAAGAGCCTATAAAATTAGAAACCCAAACTCCGTCGTGCATGACTCTCTCCTGAGTATGCCTGCAGCCCCGCTCTTGAGTGTGTACTTTCACTTTGCAATCAAAGCTTCTTGTCTTTTCATTTTATTCTGACTCGTCCCTGAATTCTTTGTCACAATGGTATGTCAAGAATCTGGATACCAGCTAGGACTGGGGTCTCACTGGCATCTGGAGACTCACCTCAGCCCTCCAGCAATGTCTCTAGGACTTTTGAATGCATCAGTCTGTATACTTTTCTTAATTTACATCTATGATTTATCACAGACTACTGGTATCAATGTTTTGCCCCTTCAAGTTAAGTATGGAAGCTTTTCCGCCCATTTCCTCTTTACTTTTCCCATTTTTAAATATCATTGTCTTAAGTATTAATAAGGTTATAATTTTTATTTCAATCACAGCATGGATGTTAGGAAGCTCATGAGGACAGCCTATGGCATTCTGTTCCTCACTGTGTTTTCTTCCTTCTTAATGCACACAAATGCCTTCATTTGTGGACACGGTGCCTCACGTGGCTTACACCTGTAATCCCAGCACTTTGGGAGGTCAGGAGTTTAAGACCAGGCTGGCCAACATGGTGAAACCCTGTCTCTACTCAAAATACAAAAGTTAGCTGGGTGTGATGGTGTACACCTACAATCCCAGCTACTTGGAAGCTTGAATCTAGGAGGCGAAGGTTGCAGTGAGCCAAGACTGCACCACTAAACTCCAGCTGGGTGACAATCAGAATCTGTCCAAAAAAAAAAAAAACCCAAAAACCGAAACCAAAACAAACAAAAATAACCTTTATTTTTATTGCATTTCTGTCTGAAGAACATCCTTTGGCCATTTTTAAGGTAGGCTGCTGGAGTACGGCTCCCTGTTGGTATTGCTTGAGGTAGCTTAAGAAAGGTCACCAGGACTGTCACCTCACATTGCCTCTAGGTGAGGGAATGAAGCCTCCAGCTAGGGAGAAAAAGAGAGCTCCTGGGCTGGGTGCTGTGGTGGAGGCCTCCTTGACAGTGCCTGATGACCCCACCAGACAGTGTCTCCAGATGGAAGAGGGAAGAACGACAGGGAGGGATAGCTTACTCCGGCACCTATTAGCCCTGGGGCTTCAGCTCCATTCCCCGTGGTCCTGTGATATTGTGTACAGAACTTCCATTAGATTCCAATGTTGTTAGGAATCCATTAGATTCCTTCTGTCGTGTTTTGAGAGTGGGAAATACTAGGCCTGGGTTGCCTTCTGTTGCAAAATACCCTGAAGTTGTGTCGTTCACAATATATTTCTTCAGTCCTCCTGACATCCCAAATCAGTTTGCCTGCCTCTTACCACTTCCCCTTTGATTTTCTCCTACCTTCTATCCAGGGTTTGTCATTGTACTTAGCAGGGAGAATCCAGGAGAGCAGAGCTGTAGTAGCAGTGCCCTCCCACACTGACTCTGGGCTTAACCACATGACTTGCTCTGGTCAATGGGACAACTGCAAGTCAGCCATCTTGTTTGGATAGAATTCCCTCTTGTTATAATTTTTAAAGTTTAGATTGTTCAATTCTTAAATGTCCTTTTGCCATCACAAAACAAAGGCTTTTTCACTGCTAAATGATCCCATTTAATGCCTGTGTTCTTGCCTTTCCAATTTCATCTCTAATTCTCCCCTATTCACACCAAGGTTTTCTAGAGAGCCAGAAATTCACACTTGATCATGCACAGAACTCTGCTCTCTCCAGCCCCTAACCTATATCTTTGCCCTAAGCCTTTTGAGCTGGTCTCAAACCATCAATGGGCTCAGTTGAACAAGAGTCTTCTGTTCCTCTGGCCAGCACAAAAGATAGGCAGAGACCCAGGGTGAGACATTTTCCTTTCACAGTATCCTTTGTCCTTTGAAGACGTTCACTGTTTTGAATAGTATCTTCTATCACCACTATGCGTTAACACTAATGCAGACAGAGCATTTTTGCTCCACCTTTTGACCAAAGCCTATGATCTCCTTATAGGTTGGGATTACGTCCCTAACACCAAGCAAAGTGCCAAGCACAGAGAGGATCTGTAATAAATGTGTGTTAAGTGGTAGGAATAAACGGCAGGCTGTTAAACTCTTTTTCTTCCACTGAGTGAATAGGTTCAGCCTGACAATAATAGGTCTGGAGGGAAACTGAAAGGTCAATTAGTTCATCTTTTTGCTTCTGTCCAAGAACACAACCAGAAAACTAGGTAGCTAGTCTGATTTTAAGTACTTGAAAAGAAAAGAAAATTAGTTTCCTTTAGTAATCCACTCCAGTGTTGAAGAACTCTCATTGTCACCAAGATTTTCTTTATATGTAGCCTAAATGTCTCAAGTTGCATTTTTAAACCTTAGCAGGTAGAAATGTGCAGCCAGGATTTGAATGGTCTTTATTTCTTTAATTTCTTTTGAGCAAGTGAACAAGTATTTATGAGCTAAATACTTTCTTTCCATACATCAGGTCCCAGACTCTCCTTCATCTGAAAGTATATGCATTTACCTGTCCTCATCATTTGGGCCTGAACCACCAGAGCCCTGATATTAGCTCCTTCCTGTGGAATATTGATTGCGTTCATGGTTTCAGTTTGCACTAGCATTCTTTGGTAGTGCCTTCCCACACTGACTTGGCTTAACCATGTGACTTGCTTTGGTCGATGGGACAATTGCAAATTAGAGGCAAGCAAAGGCTTGAAGAAATTCTTGAATATTTCTGCCTCTTTTCTTTACCTTGCCATGCTAACATGCCCCAGCCAATCCATTGAAAGGATAAGAGAGCCACCTGGAGAAAAACTGAGTCTTCCATCATGAGGCCATCTAGACCAGACAGCTCCTGACCAACATACCAGTGGACCACAGACAGACACATAAGAAGAGCTTAGCCAAGATCAGCGGAGCCTGGCTCAGCTCATCAGAGATAACTGCCCAATGGACCCATAGACTCATGATAAATGATGAGTGCATGTTGTTTTAAGCCACTAATTTCTAGTGTGTTGGGTTTACAACAAAAACTGATCCTCTCCCTAGGAGGAGCTTCACTGGTGGAGCTTGACCTCAGCAAGAGGTCCTCCTTGCTGCTTCTCTAACTCTTGTCTTACCTTCTTGCCTGTGTATCTCCTTCTTGCTTTGCTCTGAGTGGCTGACCAGCATAAATTACCCTGGACTACTCCCCCAGCTTTTGACCCTCAGCTCTGTGAGAAGCAGCCAACATTCTGGTTGCTTACTGCTGCACACGTTTGGTGCATGCTAGTATGTCCCTCTCTTTTGCAATCCCTGCTCCTGTTTCCTTGCTTTATAACACACTGCCAGAGCACTTCATATTCCAACAATACTAATATATTATTATGAGATTGTATTCTGAGTTATAACCAAATGTATTTCAGGGTAATAATGCCCCTGGGAGTTACTAAGACAGTTTGAATTTGATAGTAATGAGTCCAAAGTTGTAGGCTTAATCCCATTATCAGCAACTAGCTTTATACAAAAGAAATAATGGTTTCATTTAGACTATACTTTTAAATAGGTCAAACATTGCATGAATTCACACCCTATCACAAGGAACTAGGCAAAAGAGTGTTGGTGGCTCAGTGCCAACAGTAGCTAAGATTCACACACACACAACACACACACGTGCACACACACACACCCTTTGGTGACTACAGGGCAGGAAGAAATCTTTATATGAAGATAATATAAACACATAGGTAACTTATCTATGAAGAAAACCAAGAACTAGCTAGTGAATACTTTGATCTGAATGTTTCTGTTCACTCTTCTTCCTAATTCGTATGTTGAAATCTTAACCCCAAAGGCGATGGTATTAGGAGACGGGGCCTTTGAGAGGTGATAAGGACAGGACAGTGGAGCCTCCTAAATGGGATTAGTGCCCTATGGAAGAGGCCCCTCACCCTTTCCACCATTTGAGGACACAGCAAGAAGGCACCATTTGCAAGCCACAAAGAGGATCCTCACTAGATACCAATTCTACTTTGACCTCGAAGTTCTAGTTCTCTAGAACTGCGAGAAATACATTTCTGTAATTTATAAGTCACACAGTCTACAGTATTTTATTATAGCAGCCAAAATGGACTAAGAGAATGCAGAGTTGGTAATCAGAGAGTCCATTTAGAATAACTATAGCTCATCAAATAATTAGTAGAATCATTTTTGAGAGTTATTTTGTGTAGCACAACTATGGAATAGACTAAACATTTAAAAATGATGACACATCCCTTTGGTAAATCCTACTAGATTTAAGCATTAAATTGACCAGTTACCAAATAGACCAAATGTTGGGTGAACTCAGGTCTATGTTGAGAGTTCTAGAAAAAAAGAGAGATATGCTTGAGACAAGGACTGGGCCTCAAAACAAGAGATCTGGGAATTTTGATCTACTGTTGGTTGGTTATGTAATGTTAAGAGGATTGTAGGATCTTTATGTATTTTTTTTTGTTCTCTTAACAGTAGAGTAAGGAAGCTAGTGGGTTATGACTGGGAGTGATAATTATAGTTTTGCATATTCAATGAGTCAAGGAATGGGCTCCTTGGCTGGAGCAGAACTTGAGGTCTCTTTCCTGCTGTGTCTTCTGTGTTTACTGTTCTGATTTTGGCTAAGTAGAGCTATGTACAGAGAGATGAATATAATAAATTTATTTAGGAAGGGTTTTCTATAAAAATTGTTTTCTAAAGATATACTTTGAGGGATAAAACTAAAGGAATAAAGAAACTGACAGTATTTTAAAATAAAATATGTTTTTAAGATAATTTCAATACTACATTATATCACCTCCAAGTGTACCTATGTTTTTGCTCAGCAGTCTTTGTATTCCTCTCTTGCTAATTTCCCAACTGTTTCAGCATTCCAGCACTATCCCACCTTTCTGTCTCAGAAATGGCACTGCCACCATCTACTGTGAGGAGGAGATGGCAGCCACCTGGCTCGGATCCCCTCTGTGTCATGTTGACATAAACCTATTCTCTCTATTCGGCTCTCAAAAACCTGATTTTGTTGTTTCTGCTTAATCTTCTTTCATACAAAGCCAAACTTCTCCACTTCCTCAGCAACAAATTATCCTTTCAGTTTAACCCTTTTGCATTAGTCTATTCTTGCATTGCTATAAAGAAATACCTGAGATTGGGTAATTCATAAAGAGAAGAGGTTTAATTGGCTCACAATTCTTCAGGCTGTACCGGAAGCATGGCAGCATCTGCTCAGCTTCTGGGGAGGCCTCAGGAAACTTACAATCATGGTGGAAGGTGAAGGGGAAGCAGGCACTTGACATGGCGGAGCAGCAGCAGGGGTTGGAGGGGAGGTGCCACACACTTTTAAGCAAAAAGTTCTCATGAGGACTCTGCCACTAGAACAGCACCAAGGGGATGGTGCTAAACCATTCATGAAGGATCCACCCCCATGATCTACCCACCTCCCACATGCCCTAAATGTAACACCGGGGATTACAATTAGACATGCCATTTGAATGCAAACACAGATCCAAATCATAGTACCTTTCTAATCTCATTTTCATTGGATCTAATAAAACTCACACTCAAGGTAAAGTAATGACCAGCCACTAGGAAATCTGATAAGCTTTATCAGTGCTCATACTTCTTGATCTTTATTGAATATTTAACACTGCTGGACACCTCTCTTCCTTTCTTGAGCTGTTCTTTCGTTTGACTTCTGTTTGCATGTATCCTACCTGTTCCTCTATTTTTTCTGACCATGCCTTTTCTAGACCTTGCATGGTTCTTTTCTCTCCACCTGCCCCTAAGTGTAAAATCTCCTAAAGGTAAACCCTTGGCCCTCTGTCTTGTTTCTTTATACTTTCTTCCATAACTGCATTCCTTTGGCCTTTATTTCCCCCACCCATTTTACTCCGATACTCACAGGCCTCCAGCCCAACCTATCAGAATGTGTCTACCCTGCGCGTAGAACATTTTCTGCAATATTCAGGCAAGTCACATTGACTTCAACACTTGTCGAATAAAGAATAAGTCATTTTTTTCAACTCCGTATTCAATTTGACATATCATGACCAAAATAAATGTGTCTAGAACTATAGTATGGGTCATAATATAGTATTTATGTGTTGTTAAACACACTATTCATATTTTATTATTTGAGAGCTTCAACCCCTGAAGTCACCAGATTCAAAGGTCTATGAGTCTTCTTACTGTAGGTGGGTGAATTTGCTGCTTATGGATATACTCACATTTATTCCAACTTACACTTCTATTCAGTCTGTGGTGAGGAGAATAACTCTGACTTTGCTTTATTCTTTTTGCAGCAGCACAACAGGGCATGCCAGGAGAACTCTGTAGGGAAGGCTCAACATTAAATGAATTTTATTCAAGTACTGAATTTCCAGCAAGCCAAAGAACTTCTTTTCAGTGGTTTTATTCGGTATTTTCACCAGAGCTTTCTTGCATAATCATCTCCTTTCTTTTGTTCCCTGTTGTCAAATGCCTGGCCTCTGATGCTGAACATGCCCTAGGGAGAGACATGGATGATCACAATGGCCCAGCATGGGTCTTAGCACTTGATGTGAGAGGCCTGTTAGCATCAAGCTGCGGGGCTGCAAGTGGGCAGAGCTTCTCCAGGCCTTCCTATCGGGCTTCATCATACTCTGTAGATTTTCCTAGAGTTCAAATCCTGTCCACAGGCAAACTTCTACCAGAGCTTTCGTTGTTCCAATGAGACACAGCTTCTCCCTATTTATGTCAGTCATTTGGGGGACTCAGTTTTATTTATACAGTGTTTCTGCATACTCATCAGTTTCTTTATCCTATATATGTGAAAATAGCGTAAGAAAAGACGCATCCCCTCAGTGGTCACAAAAGCAGTGAGAAGAAAAAAGACTCATCGTGTAGCTCTAGGACTCCAGCAGTGAAGACTCAAGGTAACAACCCCAGACCAAGTATCAGCAATTCACACTTGTGATAGGAAGACAGCTCGAATTATAGCACACTAATCCTTCCCATAATGCAATCATGGTCATGTCAGTGATTCATGCACTTTCTAAAATCGCTTTTGGACTTTACCTAAATTGTGTGGATAGCTCAACTTGTGAAACTAGGCCTTTTGCGTCTGCATGTTCTAAAATGCGGTTACTCAAAGTGTGGTCTCTGGCCCAGCGGCATTAGCATCTCTGGAACCTGTTAGAAGTGTAGAATCTCAGTCCCTGTCCAGGCCTAGTGAATGAACACTTGTGTTTTTAACAAGATTCTCAGGCGGTATGTGTAGATTTTAAATTTCAAAGACATTGTATTCATTTATCTCTATTCCATTCATTGATTCTTCAATCTAGTAGCCTTTCTTCTCTCCTTGTATGTTTTTTAGAGAATAAATGTATTTTTAACAATTCTGGATCACTCACCCACATTCACAGAGTTCAAGACTTCTTGGTTGCACTGATCAGAGTTAATATCAGTCAGATCATTTATGAACTATGTGAAGGCAAACCAATGAGAGTCCCTAATTCCTGACTTTATTGGTAAGTCAGTTCAGAGCACACTCTCTCTCTCTCACACACACACACACACGCACACACACTCACACACACACACACAGCCTGACAGT